TTAACTGTCTCTGGGGTTGACTGTCTCTCTGGGGTTGGCTGTCTCTCTGGGGTTGACTGTCTCTCTCGGGGTTGACTGTCTTTCTGGTGTTGACTTTCTCTCAGGGGTTGACTGTCTCTCTGAGGTTGACTGTCTCTCTGGGGGTGGCTGTCTCTCTGGGGTTGGCTGTCTCTCGGGTTGACTGTCTCTCTCGGTTGACTGTCTCTGGGGTTGACTGTCTCTCTGGGCGACTGTTCTGGGACTGTCTCTGGGGTTGACTGTCCCTCTGGGGTTGACTGTCTCTCTGTGTTGACTGTCTCTGGGGTTGGCTGTCTCTCTGGGTTGACTGTCTCTGGGGTTGACTGTCCCTCTGGGGTTAACTGTCTCTCGAAGTTGACTGCATCTCTGGGGTTGACTGCCTCTCTGGGGTTGACTGTCTCTGGGGTTAACTGTCTCTCTGGGGTTGACTGTCTCTCTGGGGTTGGCTGTCTCTCTGGGGTTGACTGCCTCTCTGGGGTTGACTGACTCTCTGTGGTTGACTGCCTCTTGGGGCTGACTGTCTGAAGTTAACTGCCGCTCTGGGGTTGACTGCCCTCTGGGGTTGGACTGTCTCTGGGGTTGACTGTCTCTGGGGTTGATTGTCTCTGGGGTTGACTGCCTCTGGGGTTGACTGCTTCCATGGGGTTGACTGTCTCTGGGGCACACTGTCTCTGGGGTTGACTGCCTCTCGGGTTGACTGCCTCTCTGGGGTTGGACTGCCCCTGGGGTTGACTGTCTCTCTTGGGTTGACTGCTTCTCTGGTGTTGACTGCCTCTCTGGGTTGACTGCCTCTGGGGTTGACTGCCTCTCGGGTTGACTGCCTCTGGGGCTGACTGCCTCCCTGGGTGACTGCCTCTGGGGTTGACTGCCTCGCTGACTGTTCTCTTGGGTTGACTGCCTCCCTGGGGTTAACTGTCTTCTCTGGGTTGAATCTCTCTCTGGGGTTGACTGCCTCTGTGGATGACTGCCGGCGTATAACAATTTAAGAGACAACTGGACAAAATTTAACACATAATCTGCCAAGCTGGTTGTTTATGGTGGGGGTGGGGGGGTGAGGGAGGGAAGGTGGGGTGAGGGAGGGAGGGAGGGAAGGTGGGGGTGAGGGAAGGAAGGTGTGGGGTGGAGGAGGGAAGGTGGGGGGGTGAGGGAGGGAGGGAAGGTGGGGGTGAGGAGGGAGGGAAGGTGGGGGTGAGGGAAGGAAGGTGTGGGGTGAGGAGGGAGGGAAGGTGGGGGGTGGAGGAAGGAAGGTGTGGGGGTGAGGGAAGGAGGGAAGGTGTGGGGTGAGGGAGGGAGGGAAGGTGGGGGGTGGAGGGAGGGAGGGGGGGGTGGAGGAGGAAGGAAGGTGTGGGGTGAGGGAGGGAGGGAAGGTGGGGTGGAGGGAAGGAAGGTGGGGGTGAGGAAGGAGGAAGGTGTGGGGTGAGGGAGGGAGGGAAGGGGTGGGGGGTGGGAGGGGAAGGAGGGGGGGGATGAGGGAGGGAGGGAAGGTGGGGGGTGAGGAAGGAAGGTGGGGTGAGGGAGGGAGGGAAGGTGGGGGGAGGGAAGGAAGGTGGGGTGAGGGAGGGAGGGAAGGTGGGGGGGAGGGAAGGAAGGTGTGGGGTGAGGGAGGGAGGGAAGGTGGGGGTGAGGGAGGAAGGTGTGGGGGTGAGGGAGGGAGGGAAGGTGGGGGGTGAGGGGGAGGGAGGGAAGGTGGGGGGGGGAGGGAGGGAGGAAGGTGGGGGTGAGGGGAAGGAAGGTGGGTGAGGGAGGGAGGAAGGTGGGGAAGAGGGGAAGGGAAGGTGGGGGTGAGGGAGGGGAGGAAGGTGGGGTGAGGGAAGGAAGGTGGGGTGAGGGAAGGAGGGAAGGTGGGGGGTGAGGGAGGGAGGAAGGTGGGGGTGAGGAAGGAAGGTGTGGGTGAGGGGAGGAGGGAAGGGGGGTGAGGGAGGAGGAAGGTGGGGGTGAGGGAAGGAAGGTGGGAGGGAGGAGGGAAGGTGGGGGTGAGGGAAGGAAGGTGTGGGGGTGAGGGGAAGGAGGGAAGGTGGGGTGAGGGAGGGAGGGAAGGTGGGGGGTGGAGGGGAAGGAGGGAAGGTGGGGGGTGAGGGAGGAGGGAAGGTGGGGGGAGGGAAGGAAGGTGGGGTGAGGGAGGAGGGAAGGTGGGGTGAGGGAAGGAAGGTGGGGGTGAGGGAGGGGAGGGAAGGTGGGGTGAGGAAGGAAGGTGGGGTGAGGAGGGAGGGAAGGTGGGGGGGTGAGGGAAGGAAGGTGGGGTGAGGAGGGAGGGAAGGTGGGGGGTGAGGAGGAGGGAAGGGGGGTGAGGAGGAGGGAAGGTGGGGTGAGGGGAAGGAAGGTGGGGTGAGGGAGGAGGAAGGTGGGGGGAGGGAAGGGAAGGAGGGGAGGAGGAAGGTGGGGTGAGGGAAGGAAGGGGGTGGGGTGAGGGAAGGGGGGGTGAGGGAGGAGGAAGGTGGGGGGTGAGGGAAGGAGGAAGGTGGGGATGAGGGAGGGGAGGAAGGTGGGGGGAGGGAGAGAGGGAGGGAAGGTGGGAAGAGGGAAGGAAGGTGGGGGTGAGGGAGGGAGGAAGGTGGGGGTGAGGGAGGAGGGAAGGTGGGGGGTGAGGGAGGAGGGAGGAAGGTGGGGGGGTGAGGGAAGGAAGGTGGGGTGAGGAGGGAGGAAGGTGGTGAGGGAAGGAAGGTGTGGGGTGAGGAGGAAGGAGGAAGGTGGGGGGTGAGGGAAGGAGGGAAGGTGGGGTGGGGAGGGAGGGAGGAGGGGAAGGTGGGGGTGAGGGAAGGAAGGTGGGGTGAGGGGAAGGAGGAAGGTGGGGGAGGGAGGGAGGGAAGGTGGGGGTGAGGGAGGGAGGGGAGGGAAGGGGTGGGGGGGGGTGGAGGGAAGAAGGTGTGGGGTGAGGGGAGGGAGGAAGGGGTGGGGGTGAGGGGAGGGAGGGAAGGTGGGGGTGAGGGAGGGAGGAAGGTGGGGGGAGGGGAAGGAAGGTGGGTGAGGGAGGAGGAAGGTGGGGTGAGGAGGAGGAGGGTGGGGGGGTGAGGAGGAGGAAGGTGGGGGTGAGGAAGGAAGGTGAGGAGGGAGGGAGGGGAAGGAAGGTAAGGAGGGAGAGGGGGGAAGGTGTGGGGTGAGGAGGGAGGAAGGTGGGGAGGGAAGGAAGGAGGGAAGGAAAGGGGTGAGGGAGGAAGGGGTGAGGGAGGGAGGAGAGGGAGGAGGGTGGGGGTGAGGGAAGGAAGGTGGAGGGAGGGGAGGGAAGGGGGTGAGGGGAGAGGGGAAGGTGGGGGGGTGAGGGGAGGGAGGAAGGTGGGGGTGAGGAAGGAAGGTGAGGAGGAGGAAGGGGGGAGGAGGAGGAAGGGGGTGAGGGAAGGTGGGGGAGGAGGGGAGGGAAGGTGGGGGGTGAGGGGAAGGAAGGTAAGGAGGGAAGGAAGGTGTAGGGAGGAGGAAGGTGGGAGGAAGGGAAGGTGGGGGGTGAGGAGGAGGAAGGTGGGGGGGAGGGAAGGAAGGTGGGGTGAGGAGGGAGGGAAGGTGGGGGGAAGGAGGAAGGAAGGTGGGGTGAGGAGGAGGAAGGTGGGGGGTGAGGGGAGGAGGGAAGGTGGGGGGTGGGGAGGGAGGAGGAAGAGTGGGGTGAGGGAAGGAAGGTGGGGTGAGGAGGGAGGGAAGGTGGGGGTGAGGGGAAGGAAGGGTGGGGGGGGAGGGAGGGAGGGAGGAAGGTGGGGGGTGAGGGAGGAAGGTGGGTGAGGGAAGGAGGGAAAGGTGGGGTGAGGGGAGGGAGGGAAGGTGGGGAGGGAAGGAGGGAAGGGGGATGAGAGGGAGGGGAGGGAAGGGGGTGAGGGAGAGAGGGGAGGGGAAGGTGGGGGTGAGGAAGGAAGGTGTGGGGGTGGAGGGAGGGGAGGAAGGTGGGGGGGGTGAGGGGAGGGAGGGGAAGGTGGGGGTGAGGGAGGAGGAGGGAAGGTGGGGGGTGAGGAAGGAAGGGGTGAGGGAGGGAGGGAAGGTGAGGGAAGGAAGGTGTGGGGTGAGGGAGGAAGGAGGGAAGGTGGGGGGTGAGGAAGGAGGGAAGGTGGGGGTGAGGGAGGGAGGAGGAAGGTGGGGTGAGGGAAGAAGGTGGGGTGAGGGGAGGAGGGAAGGTGGGGGGTGAGGAGGAGAAGGTGGGGGGTGAGGGAGGGGAGGAAGGTGGGGGGTGAGGGAAGGAAGGTGGGGTGAGGAGGGAGGAAGGTGGGGTGGGGAGGAGGAGGAAGGTGGGGGTGGAGGAGGAGGGAAGGTGGGGTGAGGGAAGGAAGGTGGGGGTGAGGGAGAGGGAAGGTGGGGTGAGGGAGGAGGGTGGGGAGGGAGGGAAGGTGGGGTGAGGGAAGGAAGGGGTGGGGTGAGGAGGAGAAGGTGGGGAGGGAAGGAAGGTGGGGGTGAGGGAAGGAGAGGGAGGAAAGGTGGGGTGAGGGAGGAGGAGGTGAGGAGGAAGGTGGGGTGAGGGAGGGAAAGGAAGAGGGAGGGAAGGAAGGTGGGGGTGAGGGAGGGAGGGGGTGAGGGAGGAGGAAGGTGGGGGGAGAGGAAGGAAGGTGAGGAGGAGGGAAGGTGGGGGTGAGGGAGGGAGGGAAGGTGGGGGTGAGGAGGGAGGGAAGGTGGGGGTGAGGGAAGGAAGGTGTGGGGGTGAGGGAGGGAGGAAGGAAGAGGGAGGGGAGGAAGGTGGGGTGGAGGGAAGGAAGGTGTGGGGTGAGGGAGGAAGGTGGGGGAGGGATGAGGAGAGGAAGGAAGGTGGGGTGAGGAGGAGGAAGGTGGGGTGAGGGAAGGAAGGGGGGTGAGGGAGGGAAGGTGGGGGGGGTGAGGGAAGGAGGGAAGGTGGGATGAGGGAGGGAGGAAGGTGGGGGGAGGGAGGGAGGGAGGGAAGGTGGGGGTGAGGGAAGGAAGGTGTGGGGTGAGGGAGGGAGGGAAGGTGGGGGTGAGGGAGGGAGGGAAGGTGTGGGTGAGGAGGAGGAAGGTGGGGGTGAGGAAGAAGGTGGGGGGAGGGGAGGAGGGAAGGGGAAGGAGAGGGAAGGAGGGAAGGTGGGGTGAGGGGAAGGAAGGTGTGGGGGTGAGGAGGGAGGAAGGTGGGGGAGGGAAGGAGGGGGTGGGGTGAGGGGAGGGAAGGGGGGTGAGGGAGGAGGAGGAAGGTGGGGGGAGGGAAGGAGAGGAGGAGGAAGGTGGGGTGAGGGAGGAGGAAGGTGGGGGTGAGGGAAGGAAGGTGGGGAGGAGGGAGGGGAGGGAAGGGGTGAGGGAAGGTGGTGAGGGGAGGAGGGAAGGTGGGGTGAGGGGAGGGGAGGAGGGAAGGTGAGGGAGGAGGGGAGGTGGGGGGTGAGGGAAGGAAGGTGGGGTGAGGGAGGGGAGGGGAAGGTGGGGAGAGGGAGAGGGAAGGTGAGGGGAGGGAGGAGGGAAGGTGGGGTGAGGAGGGAGGGGAGGGGAAGGGGGGAGTGAGGGGAGGGAGGGAAGGTGGGGGGGGGAGGGGAAGGAAGGGGGGTGAGGGGGAGGAGGGAAGGTGGGGGGTGAGGGGAGGGAGGGAGGGAAGGGAAGAGGGAAGGAAGGTGTGGGGTGAGAGGGGAGGGAGGGAAGGTGGGGGTGAGGGGAGGGAGGGAAGGTGGGGAGGGAGGGAGGGAGGGAAGGTGGGGGGGAGGGAGGGGAGGGAAGGTGGGGGTGAGGAGGGAGGAGGAAGGTGGGGGTGAGGGAAGGAGGGAGGTGGGAGGGGGGGGTGAGGGAGGAGGGAGGAAGGTGGGGTGAGGGAGGAGGGGAAGGGGGGTGAGGGAAGGAGGTGGGGGTGAGGGAGGAGGGTGGGGAGGAGGGAGGGAAGGTGGGGGTGAGGGGAGGGAGGAGGGAGAAAATACTAGGGAGGGAAGGAGGTGTTTGGGTGGAGGGAAGGAGGAAGGAGGATGCCTAAGATATTGATGATGAGAGAGAGAGAGAGAGAGAGAGAGAGAGATGTTGACATTACTCACAAAATATAGACTTATTTTACTCTCAAAAAATTATTAAATG